AATTCTAATGTAAATATCTGATATGCAGGATGTATTTTCATTGTTACAAACTGAACATAATTAAAGCATAGTGATTAATCACAAAAACAATATGTGACTATATATGTGTTTTCCGATGGTCTTAGGCGACCCCTGTGAAAGGGTCGTTTGACCCCCAAAGGGGTCGCGACTCACAGGTTGTCGACCCATAGGTTGAGAACTGCAGCCTTAGAAAAAAGGCTTTCCCAGATGACCCTGTATAAAATAGCAACATTTTCCTTTAGCCTGCTGTATTTTTCTCCATAGCAGTTCTCACTACCTGACACACTTGCTCATAGAAACTCCATACTTTACTCCAGAGCTCACTTAGAATGTCAGCTTCGCGAGGGAAGGAACCGTATCAGTTATGTTCATTACTGTATCCTCTGTGTGTATAGCTAGAGTGGCCGGCACTTGGAAGGGGCTCATGCCATATGTATTGAATACATAAGTGATTTTCAAGTGACTTCTTGCCCACTCAGCACCTGCTCTGGAGAACCGCTGTATTAATGGAATCAGTTTCTCTAGCTTCTCAGAAATTGTCTACTCTTCTTTATGAAAATTCCCTTCCCCTCTTTGGCCCCAACATGGAGTGTTGAAGTGGCATGTGTAGAGTGAGCTCATTTTCTGAACCATTCTAGTGACCAAGATCTATGTGACATATTCATGTACATAAAGAGAATATACAAAATAAGAACTACCTTCGAAAACTTAACACTTTAAAAAAACCTGTAGTTCTGGGGGGAAATGCAGGTGGTTGTCACTGGCATGGAAGGAAAAGGGCAGAAAAGAACAGAAAGGACAGGCTAATCTATCACGTGTGAAGAGCTACGTAAATGACCTCACTTCATGGAACAGGGCTGTCAGAGGTCGGGGAGCTGCCAAAGACGGGACCCCAACCCCCCTCTGGACAAACACCGAAAGGCCAGCTGTGCTACTTTTCGAATCTGGAAAGGGCACTTACTCTGCAACTGCTGTACTTGGGTCACCAGGGCGAGTTTCTCCTCCTCGGACCTCTTTAGTTGATCTAAAAATGAAATAATACAAACCAAAACAGAAGGACCCAAGGTTAATGCACTCGACACCCGAGGATGGAAATTCCTCATAGGTACTGCCTTGTCCGTGGCCTCTGATATGTGTCAAGTGCAAGTTGCCCTTCCTCTACTTGTCCCAGCTCTGAAGAGGTAAACCAGAACCGAAGTACCTTGGATGTCATTGGCATTAGCAAATGGAGTGAGTTAAGTGTTGTATTTGCCCACAGTTTGGTCCTCTCTCAGCGGACTGCTCAGAAACCTTTCAACTGGCCTTTCCCTTTCAAATCAGGAATGTGGCCTGGACACATGTGACTGATGTGGAGCAGCTGTGGTCTGGCCCAGAGGGATGGGCTGGAAAAGAGCTGATACTCCAAGATGCGCTAGGGCTGAAAAATCAGTTTTCAGTCATGGATGATTAAAGCAGTCTTGCTTTTCCCTCAAAGTACAATGGAATCTTAAAGCCAACCAAACAAACCAATGAAAGACCGGGTGAAGCCCTTTTCTCCATCCAGCTTCTTTCGCTGGTCTCACTCGGCCAGAGGCCCCTGAGAAGAGGGGTACCTTGTAGGTGCTGGGTGTCCGAGCTGCACAGGTCCCTGTCTCCCTGTAGGCACTCAATCTTGGCCTGCAGTTCCTGGTGCTCATTCTCCAGAAGTTGCAGAGCCTGGTTCATCTGCAAGTCTCTACTGTCTGCTCCCTGCAGGGAGGAAGAGGGGCGGATGCAGAAGGAGGTCAGTGCTAGGGTGGAAGGTGGGGGCTGATCCCGTGGAAGAGGAAAATTACAGGAGAGTGTAGAATTTTAGAGAGGAATACTAGGGAAATAGGAAAATAGGGACTTAAAAAAAATCTTCCCTTTGCTCTGCTCTATTCCTTTTATTACAATAATGCATTCGATTTTTTTTTTTTAATATTCACAAGGGACTCATTTGGGTAAATGTCCAAATTCAGGAATACCAGATCATCATTTTTCTAGATGTCTTCACATTATCTTTGCATTTCATTCTAGCATTATCAATTTTTTTTGGTAGTGTCATTTTCACAAAGAATTAAGGTTAACAAGAAAAAGATTTGTAAAGTCACCTTATAGGTGATTTGAGATATGGATGCAATGCATGGTCAGTAGATTCATTCATTTGATAAGTGAACTCTTATCAAATGAACTGCATTCAGATCCCCGCTTCAGGAAAATTAGAAAGATAAACCTTTTGAGATGGGTCCTCACAATTCCAAACCAAGTAAGAAAAATCTATGGAAAATAATAGCTAATATTAATGAGGGCTTATATGTACCAGGTATTGTATTAAGTGCTTTGCCTGGATCACATCACTTAACTCTCAGAGCCACCCTATGATATAGCTGCTTATTTTTGAGATGAAGAAACTGAGGCTTGAGGTTGGTTAACTTCTCCAAGATAACGCAGATCAGAATGATAGTACCCTTGAGAATGCCAGGGATGTGGCAGGAGATGTTACTACCAGCCTATAAGTAAACTCATGGCATTTGTTCTGTGCCAGTAGAGGGCATTTCTGAACTGGTGCTGTACTGGGATGGGCGCAGAGGTTGGGTTGGGATCTGACAGTAGGCTGCTGAATATTTCAGCCCTTTGCATTTGGATGGTGTCATTCCAATGGACACTTAGTTTGTCTGCATGGGCAGTGCAAACGTCCTGGCTAAACTCAAAATTAGATTTCAGAGCCAAAACAGTGAGTCTGGTTCGAAGCGGGCCGTGAGTGAGGAGCTGAAAACCAGATGCTGTCAACGGCCTTTGGGGCCCCCAATCCAGGAGCAGCTTCTCTCATCACTGCTGTCACCAGCCCTCCTCCCCCTAAGCCCCGCCTCCTCTCCCACCTCCCCACCTCCAGGGGCTGGTACCTGCAGTTTGGACTGAAGCACGTGGAGCTGGCTCTCCAGCTCTCTGTGCCGGGTCCCCAGGGTCCTCCAGTCCTCCTTCAGAGCCTCGTACTGGCTCCTCCACTCTTCACATTTTTGCTCAGCCAGAGCCAGGGACCGCTGAGGGAGAGCAAGGGAGAGGGTGGTACCTTGGGCTCCCTGGAGTTGTGCCCCTGACCCCCAGAGCCGCCCCGGGCCCCCAGTGGCCAGAACTACCCAGCAGCTCCGCACCTGCGTGCTCTGCAGCTGCTGCTCTGCGCTCATTTTCTCCTCCAGCACTTTCTGCAGCGACTCTTTGGCTTTCTGCTCATAGCTGTTTTTCTGGTCTTCCATCTCCATCAGCACCTTTTTCATTCCCCAAGGGGAATATTTCTGTAAATGTGATGCAATTCAACAAGTACACATTGAACTTCTGTGTGCCAATCCTGAGCTGGGGTACAGAAATGAAAAGAAAGAATTTGCCTGCAGGGCAGTGATCTGGTGGAGCTTTTCTTCCTGGGGAGAGCTGGGCAGGGTAAGTCCCTCAGGTGATGTGCAAGGAGATAACAAACAGGGCCCTTGGCAAATCTTTCTAAATCTGCTCCTTTCTCTCGGCTTCCCATATCTCAGTGACCAGCATGATCACCCATCCAGCCTCCCAAGCTCTAAACCTGGGAGTCACCTTTCAGTCTCTCTTACTTTCTCCCAGGATTCAGTTGGTCATCAACCCTTGTCAAGTCAAGCTCCTTTACAGCTCACACCTGTCTCATCTCTATCCCTATGACCACCCCCTTAGTTCAGACTCTAATAATATTATATGAATTAATGCAAACTCTTTCAGTGCTGCAGCTACAAGGTCCTTTCTAAAAAGCAAATCTGATCCTGTCACACAACCTGCTTCAATCTCTCAGTGGATTCCCAGCGTCCTAAGGACCAGGTCCAAATTCCTCGGCATGGTTCCTACTTAATAGGCCCGGGCTTTCATTCTGTGCCTTCTCCACCCCAGCGGAACTGCTTGCAGATTTCCTAAGCACTGGACTTTCTGGCCATTGCCTTTGCCCATGAAACTGCTTCTGCCTGGAGCATCCTTATCCACCCTTTTCACCTGGTTAACTTCTACTCATGCTCAAGATTTAACCCAAGAATCATGTAAGTTCTGATAAATCTTACCCTTAGCCCCCAACATCATGGGTTAGGTAGCTTTTCTTAGTGTTCACACAGTACCCCCTGCATGTCTCTATCTTTCCACTCTACCCACAGCCTTTTGATGTACGGGACGACGCTCCAAACTACTGAACTGCACAGGCAGGGCCCCATGCCTTTCATCTTTATGCTCTGTGATTTTGGGGAACACAGGTAGCTGTTATTGTCAAATCTGGATTACCCACTGGGTAAGCAGTAACTTAGTTAAGGCAAATTTAAGGGATCAATATGAAATCATTCCCATTTAGCTTTGGAATCATCTGAAAATTGGGATTTAAATGTGAATGGGTCTTGTATCCTTAGAATTTTCATTAGAAAGCATCTCCAGGAATTATTGGTTGAGGTCATACATGGGTGTGTCCCAATGATTGGACTTAACTGTGCTGGTCACTGGACAGCTTTATCCTCCATTGAACATGAATTCATTGGCATTCTGGATTATATGTTGGTCTCTTATGAGCTTGGTTGGCATAATTTAGAGTCTGACAAAAGAGGTCATACTGAAAAATTAAAGTTGTGGGTCAGCAAATCTATAGACTCTTCTAGAAACTTTTCTGCAAGACTCCAACTGTGTGGCTAGGTCCACCTCATCTCCTTAACTCCAGATAGGAGCAGTCTTTCTGCTCCAACTCATTCTCTTATTAGACATGTCCCTACTTATCAGAAACACATCGCTTCTTAAGAGTGAGAGCTGGGTTCTTTCTATCTCTTGTAATCCAAGATCAGGCCAATCAAGAGATTACTGAAGCTGGATAACAATGTCACAGGGAAGCCAAGAGTCACAGCCTTACAACATTCTCTGCAGGTTGCTACAAGATGAAAGTTGCCCATGGAATGAAAAGAATTTTGCAAAATTTCATTATGACATTCAACTCATCTGTTCAAAAATTAGGACCTGTGTGGGCCTAGTCGGGTGGTGTGAATCTTTACTAAGGCTCCTCCCTAGAGCTCCAGGTATTCTCAAGGTTGCCCTGGAGCTGGCAAAGTGCTTGGTGCTGGGATTCCTTCCCAGGGTACAAAGTGAAGGGCACTGGGAGAAAGGGAGAGGAGGAGAGAGCTAGAATGTGGACATATGGTAGGTATATTGGGGATCAAAGTGAAAATGGCAAAGCCAGAACTGGGTGAGTAGGAGTGTGTGCCTTAAACTCTATCAGGTGGCATTTCTAGAGCGTAAGATTGGGATTCAAGCATTCTCCTTTAATTCTAGATTCCTGGGCTAGAAGTGTTTCTCCAGAATGCTTACCTGGGTACAGGTGTACAGCTGGTTTTCTAAGGATCTCAGTTTGCCCTTCAATTTGTCTTCATTAAGCTGTCCCTGGAAGAGATGGGATGAATAAAAGAGGTTGGGCCAAAATATAGTGTACATGGTGTTTTGTTCTGTATTCCCAGCCTACTGTCTAGATTAGAACATGGTCTATGCTCAATGTTTGGCAAACAACTCTTTCAAGAAGTAGGGAGGAGGAAAGATGACAAAGGATTTTTTGGAAGAAGAGGATCTATTCCTTTTTTTCTGGAATAGGAGAAGGAAGAATCAGACTGACCCCCAAAGTCCTCTCTCTACTTTGAGGTTCTCTATCAAATGGCTCAGGGATCGTAGCAGGGTCCCCTTGAGGGAAAGCTTCTAAGCTGTCCTTTCCTGCCCTCATTACCTCTCTCCTTGTCTGTTGGGCACTTCTGTACTCCTCACCTTCTCTCAGTCTTGTACATGGACCTTTACTTCTAAAGTAGAGGGGACTCCCCTCCTAGGGGGAGTATACATTCTCTTTCTTACCCCTTGTTGTGTGCTGAATTGTGCCAGGCCCTGTGGGACACTTGTGAGGCCTGTTCCTCCTCAGGCCTGAGGTGCCCCAGCTCCTCTCAGGTGCATTTCCAATGCCCCCAACGGTTTCCAGTCCACAATAGCCTGGGGCCGAGGAGGGGACTCTGTTTTGAGGCTGGCCCCCCTCAGGGAGTTTCCGGGGTGGGGGGCACCTGGGGTAGGCAGGAAGTGGTATCTCACAGCTCCTGTTTGGCTGATTCTTCTAACCAGGGGAGCCAGGGGCCGCCCCCACCCTTTCTGCTTCCTGTATTACTCAGCTGGCCTTGCAAAAGTGTCTCCTGCTATTGATGTTTTTTCTAATGTCTCTCGTGTGAGAGCTGAGAGTCAGGGATTTTGCCCGTACAATAGCCACAGGGCTTTGGGACAGATAACAGAGATGGACAAAGACCGCCACTGTTCTGGGCTCCAGAATAGCTGGTTACAGGGCTGCATTCCCCAGAGTGGCCTGTTCATTGTCAAAGCACAGGTCCTGAAATCCACTCCCTCCACACCCTCATCTCCTGCTTCAGATCTTCCGACTCTGAGCATTTTCCTTTGCCTGAACTCTCACTCTGCAGATTGCAATCAAACCCACTGAGTTTAAGGTTTATTTTGCTAGAGTTTGGGAAGAAAACAGACCAACCCCAGGCAATATTCTTACATTTTCCCCAGTGTCCTACCCTTTTTCAGTAGCTCCTCTCTCCTCCCTTACTATGGTTCCAATTCAATATTTTACCTCTTCCAACTGTTTTTGTATTTTAGCCAGACCCCAGATTACGTTTCTATTCATCTTGCAATGTGATACAATTCAGCATAACCCCCTGCGGGGGGGATAAAGGGCTACTCAAGCCTTGGATTTAAAAAAACTCTCTTGCCTACAGCTCTGCACAGACTCCCCAAGGCAGGCAGGGCAGTGGCAGCCAAGTTGTTGCAAATGGGGCATGGAGTTTCCTGGTCTGAGCCCCAGCTCGCCCCACACGAAGCCCAGTGGTATATAGGATGTGGGGAGAGCACTTGTTACAGGCCTGTTGTGGACTTTTTGGGGCAGTCACACCCCTGGAGCCCAGGGCTCAGGGAGTACAGCACCCCCATTTGGAGAAGGGGCAGGGTGGAGGCCATACCCACCTGGTGCTGGTCTAGGGCTTCAGCTCCTGCTTCTACGTGGCTCTCCCCTGCCTCGGTTCTCCAGGCACGCTAGCACCTCACCGCAGAAGCCCCAGCCCCAGCTCCTCACCGCAGAAGCGCCAGCCCCCAGCTCGACTCTGCTCTCGCAGAAGTGGCTTAGGACTTGCAGCCAATCCCCTGCCTCGCTGTCATCTCAAGATCTCATTTCTACTTTGCGGAACTTAAAAACCCCCTTGTGCCCCACTCCTGTTTTTTTTTATTGCCCAATTCTGAGCACTGGCTTTCCTGCCCGAACTGCTTTTGCTCTGCAGGTTGTCCCCAGCTTAGGACTCTGGTGGTGCCCTAGGACCTATGCATCTCAAAGGCCCAGAGTCCATGGAGGTTGGAGGCCGCAGAGGGAGCTGATCCTTGGGGTTCTACCAGAGTTGGCTGTGAGCATCTCTGCATTTGAAGTTGGGGATTCAAATCAGAGAGACCAAATGGGAGAAAGAAAGGCCTGAACTGGGCTGAATGTCCTGTTCCGGCCACATCAGTTATTTTTCCCAAATTCACCTTTCACTGAGGTTGAGGCTTCCATGGGAGGGGGAGAAGGTTGAATTGCCTTGTTTTTGGGGAAAAGAAACTGAAAAGTCTTTATTGAAAAGTCTGAGACTATTTTCCTTAAAAACAGGAAACGAGGGGGTTGATGGGGAGGAGGAAGAAGGGGAGGGTGAACAGTGGGAGGGGCAGGAAGAAGGAGGGAGAAACCACAGCCAGGGGAACTTCTGCTCACCTGCTGGAGTGTGTGGTGTGAAACTGCCCCCATAGTCTACCTCGAAAATGTCTCTTAACACCTCCTCCCCATTCCCACGGGGCTTGCTGTCCTTCCAGCTCTGATTGTGTTCTACCTGGGATATCGTAAGTGCTCTCTACCCGCACACCTATCCGAGCCAGGGTCCCCACTGTTGTCAGAGAACCTTTTAAAACACAGATCTCATCACTCACTTTCCATTCAGTTCTGGAGCTACTGATTGAGCTCCTTCTAAGGATGGACCAGGCACTGTAGGACTTATTTTTTAAATCCTAACCCAAGGATACTTTTTCCATTGATTTCTTTTTTTTCAGAGCAAGTGGAGGGGAGGGAGGAGAGGAAGAGAGAGGAAGAGAGAGAAACATGGATTTAAGACACATAGATTGGTTGTCTCCTGCTCAGGCCCTGACTAGGGCCTGGGATGGAGCCTGCAACCAAGATACGTGCCTTTGGCCGAAACCGGTTTGGTTCAGTGGATAGAGCGTCGGCCTGCGAACTGAAAGGTCCCAGGTTCAATTCCGGTCAAGGGCATGTACCTGGGTTGCGGGCACAGTCCCAGTAGGAGATGTGCAGGAGGCAGCTGATCGATGTCTCTCTCTCATCGATGTTTCTAACTCTCTATCTCTCTCCCTTCCTCTCTGTAAAAAATTAATAAAATATATTAAAAAAAAAAAGATACGTGCCTTTGACTGGGAATCAAACCCACGACCCTTTGGTCTGTGGGCTGACGCTCTAACCACTGAGCAAACTGGCCAGGGTGACACTCTAAGCCTTTAAACCTGAATAAAGCATCGTACCATTGCTGTCCTGCTTATTGTCTATAGCAGTGTTTCCCAAACTGGAGATAACATGCAATCTCTTGGATCTGAGATATCTGTATTTTCCCTCTAAAGTGGAGTCCATACTTTATTTAAGTTTGAGATACTATGTTCAACAGAAAAAGTGTATCGGTCATAATTCTAGAGACTTGTCTGAGGTCATTTCTGGTCTTATCTTTGGAACGACTCTGACATGATCTCTTCATTTCACACTCTGCTACACCCACAGCTTTGTCATACCTAGGCCTACAACCATTCTGGTTTCTTTGCCCTTCTGCTTTTTCTGCCCCATCATCATTGCCACTTTTGTCCTGGTAAACTCCCCTGCATCCTCCAGGACCCAGCTCAAATGGTCCCTGTCCTTCAGAACCTACCCTATTCCACCTCAGGCCGAATACTGGCTCTCTTCTCTTTTCGTTGGGCCACTTTGTAGACCCCGCTGTTACAGCTTTGTCACGTTGTGCTAGTTGTTCATGACACATCTCTCCCTTCCCCGCTGAGTGTGAGCTCCTCAGCCTCAAAGACCTCGCTCCTCATTTTTCCTGGTAGCACAGGGCCCAGCACTTTGTGGGAACTTATCAACTGTCTGTTGAGTAAAAGAGAGAAACATCTCAATGTAGCTCAGCCCTGGAAACCTTCTGGCCTGCACAGCTGTCTGCCCCAGACTCCTCGTCTCTGGATGGAAAGGACTTCCTTAATCAGGAACATAGATGCCTAAACCCAGGCACAACGAGGGATGCGAGGAGGGAGGGCTGAGCTTAGGAAATCTTTCTTACATCACTGCCAACATCTCAGTTTGGTTCCACGCCCTCCATTTCCTCTCTCTGTCTAAGCAGAAGCCATCTGCGCGGTGGGCTAGATGGTCACAGAGGCCCTTGAGGGTGTGGCTTCTTTCTTTGCACTTCTTTCGTTGCTTTACGCTCTGATGGTGTCAAACTGCTGGTAGCTCCCTAAACACACGTGTCTAGGGGTTTCCACGGGGGATCTGAGGAGCCCTGGGAATCCCTGAGACCTTTTCAAGCGAGGTCTTCCCTTTTCTAACTACAGATCGGTTTGAGGTCAGATTTTCCTCATATGCTTCGACCAGAACAATGTTTTGCAACAGATTGCAGAATCAAATCTGAGAATGGAGCTGTCTTCTGTTTAGCCAGACATTAAAAAAAGATTTGCAAAAGTTTAAAGCAATGGTATTCCTATTACTATTTTTTAAAAATATACCTATTTTTCCTAAAAATATAAAGTTTAGGTTAACATGTAATGGATTTACTATTGTTATTTTAAAATTAATATATATTTTTAAGATTCCTGTTTTAATTTCTAATATGGTAAATTTCAACATGGCAAATATAAAATTTTTTTGAGGGGGGAGTTTTATGGTATTTTTTTTTAAAGAGTATAAAGGGGTCCTGAGATTAAAACGTTGGTGACTCATTGCACTAGACTATATTATTCCTCTCGGTCTTTGCCTGTGCCATATCCCCTGCCTGGAATATAGTTCCTTCTTCCACGTTAGCCTGGAAAATATTTACATTACTATAACTATTTCCTTGGTTCTCATCTTCTTTAGAGTTAATCATTCCTTCTTATATATTACTATATCCTGAAAACATTTCTTTTTTAACAGAATATATTTTTATTGATTTCAGGGAGGAAGGGAGAGATAGAAACATCAATGATGAGAGTCATTGATTGACTGCCTCCTGCACACCCCCTATTGGGTATCGAGCCCACAACCCAGGCATATGCCATTGACTGGAATCAAACCTGGGACCCTTCAGTCCACAGGCCGACGCTCTGTCCGCTGAGCCAAACTGGTTAGGGCTGAAACATTTATTTCTCATATCTCTTCATTGTTTAGGCATCTGACTCCCTGACAAAACCACACGCTCTCTGAAAGCAGGAACCCTGTGTAATTAATCTCACTATTTCTAATGCTCGGTACAGAGAACATGGCCTATGAATATTCGTTGAATGAATGGGCTGAAATCAGGAGATCTACATTTTAGTTTCAGTCCTGCCTCTAACCAGCAGTGTGACTTTGGACGAGTCACTTGACCTCTCTGACACTCAGTTTCCTTGTGGGCAAAATGAGACAGACTGGATGACCTCTGAGGTTCTTTCCCACTCTCACATTCCCGTCTGGGCTGAGCAGTAGGTGCATGCCAGCTGGGAGTTCATATTGGTTATGAGTGCCATACAAAAATAATTGGCATTTACCACAGTTAGTAATATTAACTGTATTGGAATCTCCCTCGTTCCAACAAATTAAAAACTAGGGATTCTTGCCCCTTTTGCTTCTGGGTCCTCCCTGGGTGTGTAGCCCTCATGGTCCTGGATTTTGAGCCATCCCATATATTTACTATGACCATCTATTTGCTGTTTGACTTCTAGGTCTTAGCATCATTCTCTACCTCCTGCCTCTACAGTAGTGAGAAAAACACACACACCATACTCGGTAGGGAAGGTATGGAAAGGAGAAGGAGATGGGCAAACGTAGAAGCTGATGAGCTTTGTCCAGACAGAGGTTTCATTTCTCTTACCTTCCAGGAACTGTCAGAGGCTCTGATCAGGGTGGACAGTAGGTCTTGAAGAATCACCATTTTCTGTTTTAGAACCAGCTCTCTTTGTAGGGCCTCCTGGGAGCAGAATGCAAGAGGGTAAGATTAACCTGGCGCAGGAGAGAGGACATAGGTGGAGGAGTTGAGGGGAGAGTTCACATTACTTACTTTGAGGTACTCAGAAAGCTGGATGATTTCCTAGAGAGAAAGGAAAGGGTAGTCAAGAAGACTCTAGTTCTCCTGAAGTCCCGGAACATGGAACCAGAGCTGGGGTTGACTCGTGCAGAATAAACTTTCTTCTTTGGTTCAGACAAAGTCCCCCCAGCCCCTCACGTCTATGCTCATCCAGGGAGAAGGCGCCCCTCCATCCCAGTGGAGTTTCTCATGGGATCTCAGAATACCAGAGTTTGGAGCAGCTTATATACCATCTGATTCAACCCTTCCAAGGTAAGGATTTTCTTACCTTGTCTAGAACCGCAACTCCACAACTGGGAAGAGAAAAAATAATAACAAAATGACAATGGGGCAAAGAAACTAACAGGAGGTGGTGGGCTGATTCCCTCTCTATTCTCTTTTGAAAGGCCAATAGGGTGGGAAGATCTTTTTTTTTTAAAAAAAAAAACACATTTTTTTTGGTTTTAGAGAGGAAGGAGAGGGAGAGATAGAAACAATTCCTCTTTTTTTTAAAAAAAAATACATTTTTTTTGGTTTCAGAGAGGAAGGGGAGGGATAGATAGAAACATCAATGATGAGAGAGAATCATTGATTGGCTGCCTCCTGCACATTCCTTCAGGGGACTGAGCCTGCAACCTGGACATGTGCCCTGACCAGGAATCAATCCTGGGGCCCTTCAGTCCATAGGCTGGCACTCTATTCACTGAGCCAAACCAGATAAGAATTAGTTCATTCATTATACAATTATACAAATGAATACCTACAGTGGTAGATATACTTACCACATGAGAAATGTGGGCATATGGATGCTAATGGTGTGAGCTTTTGCTTTTTCTCAA